CGGCAGTGTCTCAGTCCACGAGTCGCAACACACATCCTCTCATCATGTACAAGCTGGTGAGTGTTGCTACTGAAAGGGGAGTCGGTCCGCTGAGACGATGCTCAAAAGGGCCATTTCGAGGGGAAAGGGTGAGAAGGTAGTCGAAAAACGTGCGTAATGTTCAAGCGGAGATTTCGAGTATGGAGCCTAATGCTCAACTCAATGGGTGTGCTGTAAGAACCTTCATGTGGGCGATGCTGCTACTAGATGACCTCGTCGACAATTGGGATAGAGTACCTAGAGAATTCATCAAGTTCGCAAAGGCTGTTGGTATTCAATGCATTCCATTGTTACCTGCAATACGACTAAATTGAAATATTTAAGCATTTAAAAGACATTTTATTATAAACTATTTCATCACAAAAAAGACTGGCAGCATATAACTGAATGATTTAAATATTAACGAAGAGTCTTTCGAATATTCTTACAGAAATAATTTATAAGAAAATCAAAATGATGGCTTTGTCCACCAGGTTTAAAGTTACCATTAAAAGTGCAAATATATTAAGAGTTTGGGATAAGATCAAATGCGAATGGGGATAGAAAAGTGCAAAAGAACGATGTTGCATTGAAAGGAAGCTTCATTGGATTTCATTGTAGGCTTTTCGTAGCAAGCGCCTGTGAAATATATTATTTAATCATCAATGCTCAACATACCGCGAGCTTTGGAAGTTGTATGTTTCGATAATTCAGCAACCTTTAATGATTTCTTACCACTTAGTGCAATGAGCTTACCACTGCAAACTGGCTTAACGCTGGGCAGTGTACCGAACGAACTATCATCATAGCTCAGCACATACTCGTCTAAAATAGCTCACTACTGCCAAATGAACCTGAAATTTGACCGATCATTCGTTGTCCGTACAGATCATTGCTGTCCTGGCCGTCCTGGCTATCATCGCTGCTACCTCCGCGCAGTACCTGAGCTACGGCGGCCTCCGCAGCGGCTACGGCGGCTACTACGGCGGCTATGCTGCCCCCTACGCCTACGGTCGCGGCCTCTACGGCGGCGGCCTCTACGGCTACTACGGTTGATTCGCTTCCCCTTCTCGCAAGGTGGGTAAGAAATTGCAATTTCACTGTTATTAGTGAACAGATTAGCAAGGAATACTAAAATACTAGTTAAAACGTATCTATTTGATCTTAAGAATTTAACTGTGATTTTGAGAGCATCGTGGATGCTTGTGATTGTGTGACACCCTAGCAAACAATTCCAGAACGCTAGTGAAAATAGAAAGAAGAGGAAAAATATCGCCTCATGCGACGATTTTTCTGCCTCTTTCCCTACTAATAAACTAGCTGCTAACAACATTAAAAGTTTGAGGCAAAATAAAATTGAGCTATGTTGTGTGACGGCCGTTCAGCAAAGTTTTATCTTTCAATCAATATAATTAATTTTATTGCTTTATTTTCTAGAAATCTTAAACTTTCAAAAAACCGTTCTAATACTTTTATTCCGAATACTTCATATCGATATTTTACTTCTTGAAGATCCAACATAGGATAAAATCGTGTTGACACTCGCGATTTGCCCCGACTCTTCTATGGGCTCTCTATTTATTATGCATCATTTCGGGTGACGTATCTGTGAAAAGTGCCCCTGAACTTTGGGACTGTATCCACATTTTGTTGAACATCTTGAATTCGTGATGAAGATGATAATGATAATGATGATATTAATAATAAATAATAATAATAATAATAATAATAATAATAATAATAATAATAATAATAATAATAATATGTTCACAAGTTTTATTATTTGTATGACACAATTATAATTTGCTCTATGACTGTTTCAGATGCTGCTTCCCGACCAACATCTGAGGGATCGGCTTGTTCAATGAAAGTTTTTTTTAATCTAAAATAAACTTCTGTATATAGTAAAAAATTGTCTTAAAATCTTATTTTCCCCGAACATTTTCCTTCCTCTGTGGATCCTGCTAAGTAAAATCTGAAAACTCCCAAAAAATATCTAAATACCAACAACATCTGGATGTTGTAACTGATTCATACATTATAACAGATCAAGCATTTGAAAAAAATCGATGTATTTGGGACCTTTATTCAGTTTATTACATAGAAATATCTGCAACTTTTTTCGTTTCATTTACTAATAACGTAACGATTAAAAAATACGTGACATTTAATAACACAGCTATTTTATACATGATAAGACTCTTCAAAATAGCTGTTAATTTATACGAATTTTAAAACAAAGTATTGTCATTCATTTTACACACTACACTAGATGCCTTTCACTAGACTAGAGCCGATAACGCCTTACCACCTGCCTTTCCATTCCATGGGGTTGACTCGCCAACAACAAGCCACGCCGGCGGCCCACAGATATGCGCTGAGCCCGAGCACGCACAGAGGAGCGCCTTCTTCAACAGCCCCGTTCTAGAGCAGAGCTGCTCCAATGCAAGAGTTTCATGACAGACTACAATATTTTCCTACCCAAAAAGTTTCTATTTAACACAGAGTTTGCTTAAGACAGGTTTTACTAATTAAAATGTTAACGAACAGTTGAATTTTCACTAGCAGAAAGTAGATCTGAAAAATGGTTAAACCAGCGAGAGCTACTCATCTTTTAAATCAAAATATTGGGTAAAGGCAACCATTAATTTCTACTCGAATTGAAATGCCAGTAGTAGATGACTACTTAAACTTATTCATACATAATGAATAGAACATTATGTTGTTTAGAGTAAACATCACACCGAGTATATGTGCGATGAGATATTACAAACACGGTAAGTTATGCTTTATTTTTCGTATATTTATGATTTTTGTATTAAATTTATGTATATACATCATAAAGTTCTATGTAATAAATTATATGCCTAAGCTAAAAAACCTATAAAAGTATTATACCAATATATAAATGATGGTAAAAGGTATTATTTTAATGTTCTTAGACCTGAAGAAGGAAATATATTAAATAAATTTTCTGAGCGCACTGCAATAGTTTTCTTTCATATTGACAAACAACCCATTATGCTCAAATGAATATCATCAAACCGTGGTCATGAATTGTGGATATTAACAATAGTTTTTTTACGTAATAAAGGCACAAATCAAATCGCGAACGCGTTGCAAAACAATTTTTATCACGTCGTATGCGAAAGATATTTTGCACACGCTTCGCGATGTTTAGCACGCTAAAATAATTAAAAATGTTTCGCACATTGAAATCTAGCTCAAAAAAAACTGTTTTGGCCATGGCGTGTTAAAAATAATATATATTTACCTATTTTTATTTGTTTAATATGTAATTATTAAAATTGCCCATCCTGATACTATTTGTCTATCGAAGGCATTTAAATCATTACAAAACCTACATTTATCCTGAAGCAATCTAACCTTTCAAATTTTGGTATTCACCTCCAGATTGCCTTTTCATCGCATTAAAGCCGCAGAAAAGAGACCATATGGTATCATTATGGAGAAAAAATCTGAAGGGCTAAATCCTGCCGCCAGAAGACGAGTACAAGCTATTCTACCAAACTCTTTCTAAACTACTTCCTGGCGCGGACGTCGCGTATTCTCCTTCCAGTCTACCTCTGTCTGAGCACCTGAAATGAAACAGTGCCTTGATCTTCCACACTCTTGCTTCTGGGCTTATTTCTCGGACACCCACTCGCATTTGCCCACTAATACACTCATTTAAATATTAGATGGTTTATTTATTTTTTATCAGATTATTCATTTACTCATTTATTTACTTATTGCTTAATAACTTATAAACTTACTGACTTAATTACTATTTTCCATACATTAATTATCATTCCCTAATAGCTCAAATATTTCCTAGAAATTATCCTAATTATTTAATGAAGTGAGACTTCCTATCAACCAATGTTCTGGACAAGCTTTACATTTCTATGTTGAAAGTAATAATACTATATCACCATCCGTGTTTAGTTAGCACAAAAATTTACAAGGAGTGTATTCAATATCACCACAAAGCACACAGACATATTGCTATTTTAGACTTTCAATCTACGTTGCATCCGCCTCCGACCCTAAGCCAAGTGTAACCCTCTCTTGATCCTTGAGATTGTGTGAACGTAACTTCCGCAACCACAAACCGGACAAGTGTGAATCTGTGGCACGAGGAAACGTTTCTTGCGTATTTTTACGATCTTTCATCAATTTAAATTAAGGGCACAGTAACAATTTATCATGCTTATTGAATATTTGAAAAATGAAATAATTTGCTTTGTTATAACTTCTAGGAAGACAAAGCAAATGATATGCACAAGTTTGTAAATTTTCTTTCTAAATGGCGCGCGTAATTAAAGGAACGCGGCGAAATATTTCAGCTATTCTAGTCGACACATGCTCTTTGTGGTTGTATGTTTGAGTTTTTGCACGAGACGTGGAGAATAAGGGTGCTACACGCAATAAATAATTTTATTTTATACTGATACGTATTTTATTGTTATGGCTTTCGATAAGGAGCTCGAGATACACTGCATAACTCACCTGGATCGAAAGGATCGTGCTTATGAGAAAATATGAAAACAGTTGAAAGTTGCAACATTTTCTCTTATGGAGGGTATTATGATAGGGCATTATGGGGGATATGAAATGAAAAACCGAGTCAAGTTAACAACTATTTAATAAGTAAATACGAATAATTAAAATTAGGTAAAAAATAAAATCATGTACAGTTACCACGCGCGTCCACTGGTTCTAATGATCTCGGGCGACAAAAATCCCGAGGACAAAGGCCCTCAGACACTCCCTTGGTGCATAAATAACTATTTCACCACATTTATCATTCCTTCGAGTAGTATTAGAAAATAATAAAGATTTGCTGATCTTATCACGACTTCGTCAGAATCATGCACGTACCCTAAGCATCCCTAATACCTTCGTAGAAGCAAGTATATTTTGGCGTTGTTAATTTCCATTATAAAGCTCTCTTAAATATTAAACGTTAAGTATTATTAAAAATATGTTATAAAAAGCAAAAACAACTAAGTATTAATAAAAAATATAATGATATATTATAAAACTTCTGAAATGTGTAGTAGTAAAGATATATCATTTGGATGAATTTAATAAATTATACATTTCAAATATTTTAGTGGCAGCATCTTTGTTTAAAGAAAAATATGTTTTTATTTCAAAATAATTATGACTTTTCTACCGGAGTTTCACATCAATTATCTACAAAAATGTGTACTTTAGAAGGAGGATATTGTGTGCTATTTTCGTTCAGAAAGGTACGGTATTAGAGGAACATTTTATATATCTGAGAGCCATTTTTTCGAAACAGTAATCCCCCTCATTATATCAAGACAGGTCTTCCCAGGCAGTTGATATCCTTCCGAAGTGCCAGTGGTCGTATTTCTAAAATTTCAGGTTAGTTACGTCTTGAAATTTACTCATTCAACTCAATGAATTGAATTGAAATTTAGTAGAAAATGAAATGTACTTATTTTCAAGAAAAATGACTACCAAAAATCTCATTAATTGCCCACTACTCGGAAAAATGCTAATTGCTGTAAAATAAATTTAAACACTTCATATAATTACGATTTATACATTCACTTTGTTATTATTATTTTATAATTAAAATCCATTAGAAACTAAGCAATGAAATTAAAAAACAAGATATCCAAATACATTTTCAAACATTACAAAAATAAAAAATAAAAAACAATACAAATACGCGAAGAACTTCGAACTTTAAGAGCACATTCTTTTCACTCGCTGTAATTTTGTGCGCCATCAATGCCTCTACAAAAATATGTTTCAATCTTCGTTTAAGAGGTTTGAAAGTCAAGGCCATTATATGTACTCACGCGCGCCGATCTGATCAATACACGAAAAACCGTGACTAAGAAACAGAAAATTTCAACACGCACTACGAAACACGAAATGCAGGATATTATGGAAGCTTTACGATGATCTCGACATTCAACCAGAAACAAATTTCTTCCTGAAACCTTCAACACACGCATCCTATTGCCTGTAAGTGAATCACAATTGTAAGTGAATTCCACTTACTCGTCACAACTTCCGTGAACCGTAATTTCGAACGTCACAGGTGAGTTGGTATGCTTCGCAATCAGACGAGATCCTGCTCTTCCGGCGTGCGCTCTCCGACCACTCGTGTTACGACATACTGAACACGCGATAAAACATCGTTTCGGACCAAATGTAATAAAAAAACCATAGGAAACATTTAGCATGCGTTAACGTACGGTCGGGCCGGGCAAGTACAAGAGAGCGCTGTTTAATGCCATTCGCAAGAAACCGCCAATTGAAGGGAATATGGAACGACCGGCGTGGGGGTAAGCGGTCGGAGGAGGCTGCCGAAAAACAACCGCTGGATACCCGCCGCGGTTGTCCCTGTGATCAGTAGGCCAAGAAGGTCAATGCGCTGGACGGCGACCTTCTGCGGCCACGGCGCGTGTGAGACATGCAACAGCGCCACCGGTTGCCGCTGCTATGACGGCTTTAAATACACTCAAGATCATCACATTGCATTTTTCGCACTCAAATGTTTCATCGTGCCTTTGTCTCTCTGTGGGTCTGTTACAGCCGAAGGTATTCTACTCTACCTCTCAGCTCTCAAGGAAAAGCGTCTTGCGAGCAACACACATTGACGCGCCCCTCGAACCTCCTTCGTGCAGACACGACATCTCTTGCTGAACAACATTCTCTCTATCTCCGATAACATACATACTCGCCGAAAACGATAAGTTTCATTTGCTGCGAGTTCTTGTGAGAGAGCTTACTTTCCTCTAAATCAGCCAAAAGTTACCAATTACTCGAATACTGAGAATAAGATTTTCACGACCTAGGAACAATTCAAAAATTCATTCGTGCACCACTGCTTGTGAGTTTCAAGCTCGTAATGCGAGTAATCTTATGATACTGAGCTTGGCTCTTAATAGAGTGAGAAAAGCCCACTTGATTCTCAATGGCAAATAAATTGTTGGGATGATTTCAGCAGAAACTGAAATTATAAAGAACAAGAAATTGATAAATATTTCCGTTTATTGAGGCAGGTTTTTCATGTAAATACAAAAATATATCATAGAACGTCTTTAAGAGTATTAGATCTTGAATAATTGAGGTCTTCGTTACGCCACATGGCAAATCTTGGCTGTTTTTGTAGATTCTCTTAGTTGGCCATAGAGCTTCATCCTTTAACCAACCTTGCAGAGAAAAATCTGCAAAATCCTTTAAATAGCCTTGATGAAAAAGCCTCGAACGGATTTCAGACAGATGTTGTGGAGTATGGTGAGCAATTATAAGGCGAGAGTTGTAAGCCCTTATGCCTTCTGGGAAGTCGTATGGCAAGTGAGGTGTCTTTGGGCTGGAACATTCTAGCAGAAAAATCACCAGTACACTTTCCCGTAGGTGTTGAAAAGCTGGAAAATGTGTGTTCCAGATATCTGTGGAACCTACAATGACGTAGTTGCCGGTTGAAGAATGGTATTTTGCCATTACTTTCATCGGATAGACGATCCCAAAACGACGAAGCAGAATACTTGGGAATGAAGCTTTTATGATTTTGCTAAACTCTCTTAAATTCTGCCGCATTACCCTCTTTTGTTCTTTCAAAGGACTTTCATGCTTTTGGAGAACAGAACTCCGTTCTATACTTCCATTAACTGCCGCAGTGAATGAATTAACTCGGGCGATGTCGAATCTCGTGAGAATTCGACAGTATGTTTTCAGATGTTTCAATGCCAAACCTCGTGGGCGGCACTTGAAGTATCGATGAAGCGCTAACCATTCTGTAATGGAGTGCTTGACACTTCGTCTTGTTTCAACCGATGCTGCCGTCGTCGTTACACGTTCCAGTCCTGCTCTCCGTAAACAGCGTGGCGCATTACTGTCTGCCGACGTCGCACATATTTCCGCGCAAAATCTTGCTACAGCACGCCTCAGAAGAGCTTTGTTCCTATAAATAGTGGTAATAAAAAGCAATTTAGTAAACGTGCAGTTTAATAATAATTAATAATTATTGAGTTTCCCTGTCGTGTAGATTTCGAAATTATTCATGGTCTGTGCGTCTCTTCAAAGACACCAAATACCATGGGTAATATTTCATTGTGTAATTACTAATTTATCATCATTCTATTCAGAAGACTACTAGCGTCTTCCGTTTGTATTGTGGATTAGCGATATTTGAGATGTATAAGTTTAATCGAAGATTTAGTGCTAGAGTAGGCAGCTACGACTTTGTATTTGATTTTTCATCTCAGAGTTATCTATTTTACCTTTTCAACAAAACTTCGTAATTGATTCAACTTATTAATTGACTCATCAATTATCATACATGTTTTTCTCGAAAAAACTTATAACTCTGATTTCACTAATTAACATTTACAACCAGAAGAATACTGTTGAATTACAGCGGAGGAAGTTAATGTAATTTTGACTACTTATTCAGCTTCTACATGGAATAACTCAACAGTTCTACGAATACACCAACAAAAATGATCCGACTATAAATGTTAAAAATTGAAATTATGATGTTATTAGTCATTCGACTAGTTCTTCATGTAAACACATTATATCAATAAATAATAATTAAAGATAATGTAATAATGGCAATGAGAATTAAACATTATGTGATCACGCAATATTAGTATGACAAACACGTTTCCCATAATACAAAATAACGCACCTGTGCCTGTCAAATCAAGTTTTCGGCCTTGAAGTCACACGTAAATTATCTTAAGACAGTTCAGCGCCGATTTGTATATAAATGAGCTATATGTATGATCTAATCTTGGCCTAGCTTATTGCAATAGTCACATTTCGTTTCAGATTTATACTCGGGTCCAGTAGGCTGGCACGACAAATTGTCAGAGTGTGTAAAGGACGTCAGAAGTCTTGGTGAACTAGGTACGAAATTGTCACGTTACTTGTCCTCCACTTTGATTAAACGAAATATTAAAACGACTCATCCAAATTATTTCACATATTTTACCACATTTTGCGATAAACGTGTGTCACGCGAGGTAACCTTAAAACTATAAAAAGTCAACATTCAAGTCTTACAGGCCCAGGTTCTTATTTTTTTGTCAGCGGTCTCGAACCACTCTATATTCAAGAACCTTTACTTTTACGACGCTCAAAAACTCGTAACACTAAACCTACGCTTGATCCCTTCAAATCAGAAGCAAGTTAATGTCGTTTATCGCAAAGTTCGATGGGCATAGTCACTGTATCAGCAGCGCATTTGAGGACTTCGCGCAGGGAATCTGACCTCGGCCGACCTCACAGAGGAGAGAGGCGGTTAACGTGAGTGCCGTCATAAAAACCTCATCTCCCGAACCTTACGATAAGCAGCATCGGCAAAAATTATACATCTTCATATGTTGCTTTTTAGAACTGCAACTGTTTTTATTTTATTGATATGTAAAGAATACTATCTGCATATATTACACTGTTATTGGAGTATTTGTAAGTATTGTTTTTGTTAAAATATCAAATTTATTGTAGTGTCACACGAGAGAAGTTTCTTTACTCGTCTTGAGCAGTGTGTGTGCTACATCTTGAAAAATAATTTTGTGTGGTTTTGCTCAACAGCATTTTTGTGGCTGCAAGCCACTAGTGTTACTCGTAAAACAAACGATGTATTATTTCTATCACAGTAACTACAAATAATTATTTACTTTCTGCAAATTTAAAGGAATACGTCTTAGATTTACATTTGACTACTACGTACATTAAAATTGAAGTTTTCAAACATAAAGATGCAGTGTGATCACGTTTTGATAAGTTCAACACAATCGCGGATCAACATTTAAACACAAGTCGAAGTGTCGTGCGAATATCCGTACTGAGTTCAAAATGTTTCTGATCTCAGAGACCACTAGAAGGCTGAAGTCTGCAGCAAAAAGTTCAGGAGCCGGGGAACGATTTCCCTGCTTCGCATCGCGCAGGTTTGTCCTTTCCCTACTCTCCGATAGGGCTAATAGGGCATGTAGGGCAAAATGACTTTTTAGCGGTTAGGACGTCCAATAGGCAGCTTCGACGTGGTCATCCAATAGGCAGATTCTATATCGAACATTGAGTTGTAACGAATCTCCCAATTGGATGACCGAGTCCCAGCTGATCACCTAATTCGACCTACGTTTAAATCTGAATGTAGGTGCTGCAGTCACGTCGCGGACAGTCGCTACGGACTTCACCCCCTCCTTCACTCCCCCGCCCTTCAACGGATTGCAGCGCACATTTCAAGTCCGCAGCGGAAGACGACAAGCAACCGAGTTGCCTCCGAAACGAACATTTTTATCGGAAAACAGATAGTATAAACTTCTTCAAATAACTACCAAAGTACACAGATTTTTGTCGGTGTAATTAAGAAACTCTTCATAATCAACCTGCAGTATGGCAAAGACAATGAAACATGGAGACGGTGAGCATGGTGAGAAACTTTGCGAGACGAACTGAGGTGAATAAAGGGACCCGGCTATAGTTTGAACCATTTACCGACTTGAGACTAACTTAAAAACCATTTCATATTGTGACTTAT